TATGAACTGCTGCCTTGGGATCTAACCTTGAACCAACAACAATTTACTCCATATGACTTTAGGGTGTTGTGGAATCACTGGCAGATACCCCTTCTTGATATTATACTCCTTTGAGTCAATAAGTACTTGTAGCTTATTATGTAAGGTACTACAATAACCAACTCCTGGCATGAAAAATTTCCTCAATAATCAACAGGTATATCAATCACATTCAGACCCCCTACTGTCTTGGGCTTAAAGTCATTGCTCCCTTCCATAAGAAAGTTCTACTCACTGTTGTAACCATAGTAATGATCTTCTTTGGTAACAGGAACATTTGGGACCAATATGTTTGTATTTGAAACAGAACACTCTTCACTAGCATCTTTGTGACTGAATGCTCTGCATTTTAACATTTCTTATTCTCCTATTAGTGTACATGTTATATAATCATTTTACAGTACATATAGTAGGTTATAGCTTGCACTAAACTCAGCTGCTACAATCTACCATAATACAGTGCTGGAAATTCTGGTAAGAGTTGAGCTCTTCTATTACTGCCTGCACATAGAAAATTCTGGTATGAAGTCACTCATACCAGCTACTAGTCTTGATCAGTTTCAGAAGCAACAAGGGATAGTCATAGGTGATGAAAGAAAATAGATTAACAACACAGTAGCTGATGTTGAGTATATGCCTACTCCTTCTAACTGTGTGATTATGAGGGTGTTGTTGAAAAAATAGTGCAGCTTCACAAATTGGACCACATCTTTTCGTAAAAATTTAAAATCCAGAACTGTTGTGCAATGTGGAATATGTGGAACTCTTTGCCTCGTATATAATTGTTGCAATCTGATTTGTCGTAAATTCTAAATGTGTAGGGAAATGGAGGTGATCAAATTTGAAGGGTCGCTACAAGTCAATTTGATCTCATTGAAGTAGCTGATAAAGAGTTTTTGAACTATTGTAAAAGTTTGAATACATTATGTTTGATTTTGTGAAATATATTCTTTGCTAGAATATATTGAACTATTGTAAGAGTACTTTTTGAACAATTGTGTACACATATTTAGAATATTGTTGTATAGGTATGTGTAAGTACGTACAAGACGTACTATCTTTTGAAGTTTATTGCAAATCTATATATTTGAATTACTTATGAGCCAATCTAATGCTTGAGATTATTTATTGCAAAATAATATTGGTGTTTTTTAATTAGAAATTGTGGCATATAAATATTTTATAGCCAAAATGATATGGCCACACTTAAAAGTGTAGCCATAGGACTGTAAATTGTGGTATGCACATGGGCAAGGACTACACTTCAAAGTGTTGTCATACATTAGATAGAAAAGGCAACACTTTAAAATTGTTGTCATACAT